AAAAAAAAAATAAAACTTTAAAAAAAGTAATATAGTGGAAAAATATTCAGTGCCATAACATAGTATGTGAGGGGGTAAAAAAAAGTAATTTTCAAAGGATCTACTATTTTATATCTGTATAAATAAGAGAAGACAAGAATGAAACAATATACTAGTCGCTTATTATGCTTATAAAGTCTCTGGACTTTCCAAAGGTTTTGCTTCGTGCACCAGATTTTTTTTTTCTTTTGGCCTTGGAATAAAAATTCTTAACCGAGACTACAAGTCCCAGGAGACATGACGCCCCAGGCTCCCAAAGACTAAACTTCCTATGCCGTAATGCTCTCTAGGATTTGTAGTTTTGTTGTAGAGTAAAGGCGGGAGATAAACTGCCGGCCTAAGACAGAGGAGGGAAGTGTTGCAGTCCTGGCCAATAGACAGTGCGAATAGGATCTGAGTAGCAAGTACCCAACCAATGGACGCTTCAGTAATCCTGAGTGACGTGAGTTGCAGCCTATAAGAAGATGGTAGGGAGGAGCGACGCCCGGCGGCCGTAGTGCGAACCATGGGAGGTGGCTGGTGGTGGGCTCGAGCCGCCCGCCTGGCTCGACTCCGCTTCGCGGGGGCGCTGCTGCCGCCATCGCGGCCCCGGAGCGGGGGTTCCCGGGGGTCTTTTGCCCCCGGACACGGCCTCCGCCCCGGGGCCGTGCCGCCCCCAGTGTCCGAGCTGGACCGCGCGGACGCCTGGCTCCTCCGGAAGGCGCATGAGACAGGTTTGGGGCAGGGGCTGGGGTCGTTCCGCCTGCAAGTGAGTCCCCGTTTTTGAGTGAGGATCGGAGTGGGGCTTGAGTTGAAAACACGATCGGGGGTCAGGAAGGAGATGGGCGTCCGTGGCAGAGCAGGGACGCGCCGTGCTCATTCCGTAGCCTGTCCGGATTGGAAGGGTTTGTGGCTCCAGGTTAGCGGGATGCACCCAGCATTGCAGAATCCCGGGGACCCGGTCAGAGGAGGTTGACAGAAATTAGGCCCTTCTGAATGAGGAAGAGCCATGCAGGGACCTAAGGCAAGGGGAGCTGCCTGCAAGTGGGGGGTCCAGGATAGAGGGGCTAACTCAGAGAGTTGGGGAGACCACTCTGCATAGGCGGGAGTGTTGATCCCACCGAAGAAGGGGGAAAATTCTGATTGGAGGAGAGCACAACCAATCGGAGAAATTCTGGCCGTTGATTGGGCGATGGAGCGATCGGTGCTGCAGGGGCGGGGCTTGGTGGTCGCACTCTGGTTGGGGAGAGTTTAGAGGGGTCTTAGTTGGGCTCTGTGAGGAGAAGCATGGCGTTAGGATTGGTGGAAGATCTATCAACAGTCTGCGGTATGCAGATGACACAACCCTGCTCGCTGAAACTGAGGACCTCATGCACTTACTGCAGAGGGTCTAGGACTGCAGCCTTCAGTATGGACTGAGGCTCAGTATCAAGAAGACAAAGATTCTCACCACTGGACCAATCGGTAGCATCAGGATGGATGGCGAAGAGATTGAGGTTGTTCACAGCTTCAGTTTGCTCGGCTCTACGGTCAACACTCTTGGCACCAGCTGCCAGGAAATAAAAAACGTATTGCGATGGGAAAGTCTGCTGTTAGGGACCTCTCTGAAGTACTCAAGAGCAATGGTGTCTCTCTGGAGACTAAGGTGCGCCTGATACAGGCCATGGTTTTTGCAATCACTTGTTATGCATCAGAATTGGACAGTGACTAGGGAAGATAGAAGGAGAATTGACGCCTTTGAGCTGTGGTGCTGGAGAAGAGTATTGAATGTACCCTGGACTGCCAAGAAAACAAACAGATTCATCCTAGAGAGGGTTAAACCATGCTACTCCTTGGAGGCAAGGATTCTGGGGCTTCGTCTGACATACTTTGGACATGTTGTAAGGAGAGACAGGTCCTTGGAGAGGGACATTATGCTTGGTAGGGTAGAGGGACAGCGCAGGAGGGGAAGACCCTCTATGAGGTGGATTGATTCAGTGACTGGGGTAATCGGGATGGGTGTGTCAGAGGCAATGCGATTGGCACAGGATAGAGCAGGGTTTAGGGCTGTTGTACATAGGGTCGCTATGAGTCGCAAACGACTCGACGGCACATAACAACAACATAGTTGGGGGTGGAAGTTTTGTTGGTCGAGTTGCTTGCCAGCAACACCCTACCAGGGACTTGTAGATAGGGTTGAGAGGGGGTAGAAAGTGGCTTTTGAAGTAAGGTGGAGAGAGGTTAGGGGGACAGTTAGTTCCAGAGGTTGAGAATAGAATCAGAGGGGAGGGATGTGAAGTGGTCATAAATATGCACCCTGGGAAAGAGGCTGACCAAGCGGATACCTTTGAGTCTGCAGTTTTCTTCTAGACTGTCTCCTAGAGTCATGTTAGTGTCTTAGAGTCTGGGTTAAAAGGATCAGAGGTTTTGGGGAAAGGACTTGTGTGGTGGGGAGGGCCAGGTGAAAGGGCAGGTGATGGGGAGCCCCCTCATTTCCTGAGTTTCTGAGTTTGAGGGGCTCCCAGACTGAGTCCCGTGCCCCTCATCCCCCAGCTTTCCTTTCCTGGTTCCGGAATGGCCTCCTGGCCTCGGGCATTGGGGTCATCTCCTTCATGCAGAGTGACATGGGTCGGGAAGCAGCCTATGGTGAGTGTAGCCCCCTCTGCTCCCCCCAGTAAGGAGCGTGACACCCCTCCAATACATGGCTCATGGAGTCTCTTTCCTGCTGCATCCCACCCCTCTACAGTCCCTCCTCCCCAAGATGCCCACCCTATACTTAAGTGCACATCTGAGACCCTGGGACAGTCCAGGGCGGGGCTGTGCCGCTAAGCCTCTGAGCACCCCAAACCAACTGCACCCATAACCCATTTTGGCTCTCTCCAAATCCCCTCAACCTGAACTCTTACCTCTAGAGTAAGATGTGCATTTGCCCCCAGCCCTCAGTCTTCCCATCTGTGGAAGGAGGCTGGGCTCTGTGGCCTAGTGCTGTGGTTCTTAGCTGGGCGGCTTTGACAGGTGCTAGATACCCTGCTCACCTCTCCTGCCTCCCACTGACCTTGACCTAGCCTCCTCCCCTCCCTTGAGCACCCCTGACCAGCCCTCTGCACCCCTGACCCCCTCTCCCTGCAGGCTTCTTCCTGCTGGGCGGCCTGTGCGTGGTTTGGGGCGGTGCCTCCTATGCTGTGGGCCTGGCCTCGCTGCGGGGGCCCATGCAGCTCTCGCTGGGGGGCGCGGCTGCGGGGGTCGGCGCCGTGCTGGCGGCCAGCCTGCTCTGGGCCTGCGCGGTTGGACTCTACATGGGCCAGCTCGAGCTGGACGTGGAACTGGTGCCCGAGGACGACGGGACATCCACCGCCGAAGGCCCCGACGAGGCGGGACGGCCGCCACCAGAGTGACTGCGGGCAGCTGGGCCTGGGCCCGACAGATTGGGACATTAAAACCTGACCCTCTCGCCTCCAGATTCCGAGTGGTGGTGTGTGTCTGCGGGGAAGGGGGGCCCAGATGAGCAGAAAGGCGAGTTCACAGCCCCCAGGAACCAAGCCACAGGAAGAGACATGGATGTTTAATTCTCCCTGGCCACTGTCCCCCGACTTTGTCCCCCCAGGGTCCGGCCAAGCTTTGCTGTCAGTCTCCCTTGCGCTGCCCCCTAGTGCCCGCGGGCGCGGGGTAGGGCAGGCCCAGGGCGGGGTAGAAGGCTTCGGGGCGTGCGGGCCCCGGGCCCAGCCTCTGCAGGTGTGGGTACATGAGGCCCAGCTCCGCGGGTCCATAGCGGATGGCGCCGGGCGTGCACAGACCCCGCACACTGGGGGGCAGGAAGCCCGCGTGGAACACCGCTGCGGGGGGCTCCCCGGGAAGCGCCAGACCCCAGGGCCGCACCACGTCCGGCTTCAGGGCACCTGCCCGGATGACAGAGGTGAACTCGGCCTGCAACCGGGCCGGGTGGCTGGACGGTGCTTCGTCCCCACTGTCCTCTGGGTCGTTAGTCTCCCCTCGGCTGGGTTCGACTTTTATGCGTGTGCCCCGGGTCAGGGGGGGCTCCTCCTGGTCCTGGGGCGCCTTGGACTTCCCATCTGCTGGCGGATCTGGGTCTGGAAGAAGAGAGTTCTAGAGAACACGCTGTGTGCGCGCGCGCGTGTGTGTGTGTGTGTGTGTGTGTGTGTGTGTGTGTTTTCTCAGCCCTCAGTCTTTCCATCTGGAGAATGGGGTCAGTGGGGTTACATTCTTGGAGCCTTTCTTACACAGTGGTTAAGTTTGGCACACCTAACCAAAAGGTCAGAGGTTCAAGCTCACCTATGAGTTCAAGGCTGTAAAATTAGTTAAAACCTATGAGTTAAAATAAGTCATGGCCATAGTTAAGCAGTCCTCTTTGTACACATTCCCAGCCTTGAAACGCTCCAGGGCAGTTCTGCATCTTACAGGGTCCCTGTGGGTCTGAATCAATTAGACAGCATTGGGCCTGATTTGGAGACAGTTGAGATGAAGGGACACTGGCATCATTGGGTGGACAGTCCCCCCACCAAGAAAAATTCATTTGGCCCCACGTGCCCATTGGGGGCAGGCTTGACAAAGTCCAGCCTGTGCCGTGTGACTGAGCTGAATGTTCTAGATCTTTGCTGTTCATAATGGGATCCACAGGCCACATGGGGCTGCTGAGTCCTGGGAAGGCAGCAGATGTAACTGACCCAGTGCTGGCAAGTGCCTCCGAGCTCCCCCGGGCCGAGGTGGGAGGTGAACTTTACCTGTGGTCTCTGGCTCTGGGCTGGATGGGTTGTCACTGACCAGTCTGGCCGGAAGCTGGAAGGCATCCAGAGGCGTTTGGCCCCCCTCAGCTTGGCTGGGGACGAGACACAGTTAGGGTTGGAAGTAAGGGTCTCTGAGATCTCCAACCTCTGCGGTAGAGGGGACCCCTCTGGCCCATCTGTCCCCCCAACAGTGTAGCACTTCTCTCTTCCTCCTGGCACGACGTCCCCCCCCACCACCAGTGTCAACCTTCCTGGGGCATCAAGGCCCTGCGTGTCACTTCAGTCATCTCCACTGTCCATAAAGCCAGTTCTCTACCTCTAAAGCCTTCTCTGGCTCCCCAGTGCTTCTGAAACAGGTCCTGCATGAACTGGCCCTGCCTTTCCCCCTGTCTAGTTGCTCACATCTTCACATTCCAAACCCACACACAACCTTCAGCTCCTCAAATCGATCCAGCACTTGTTCTGAGCTGTTGCCTATATTGTCCTTCTCCAGAATTTGTTGGTTTCCTCCCCCTCCTCTTGTGGACCCTCAAGTCAGATCCAACTGGTACAGGAGGAGACTGTTCCTCCTTCTCCAGCAGAGCATCTGGTGGATTCGAACCACACGTCGGATCCAGCTGGTACAGGAGGAGACTGTTCCTCCTTCTCCAGCAGAGCATCTGGTGGATTCGAACCACACACCTTCAGGATTGCAGCACAGCTTCTTGCCACTAGGCCACCAGAGCTCCCTTTCTCCAGAGTCAATTCTGTTCTGCCTCTCTTCCCTGGAGAGAGCCTGCCGTGGCTCCCCAGGGCCCCCCCCCCCCAATGAAGTTCACTAGGAATTCACCCCATCTCCCTAGCAAAGACTCCTCTCCGATCTCCCAGGCCTTTGTTTTCACCTGCCCATTTCCAGACTCTCACAAAGAGAGCCCACCCAGAGGAGTGAGTTCCAGGGGTCTGGATTTGACGCCCTCCCCTGAGCACTGCAGGGAAGTCCCACACACCCTGAGAGGTAGGCATGGCCCTCATCTGAGCACTGGGGAAGCTCACACACCTGGGGGAGTGGGCATGGCTCTTACCTGAACACTTGGGGAACCTGTGCACCTGGGGAGTGGGTGTGGCCTCACCTGACACCTGGAGGAGTGGGCATGGGCTCCACCTGAGCTCTTGAAGGAGCCTGCACACCTGGGAGAGTGGGCGTGGTCTCACCTGAACACTTGGGGGAACCTGCACACCTGGGAGAGTGGGCGTGGTTTCACCTGCACACCTGGGGATTGGGCGTGGCCCTCACCTGAGCACGTGGCTGACCCAGAGCACATGGCGCTCCCCGGCGTTCTTGCCGCTCACAGCCACCGTGGCCACAGACTGCAGCCACACGAAGCCCCCAGTGCGCTGCAGCCAGCGGTAATATCCGGTCATCACCTGCCCCTTGTCCAGCACTGAGTCCAGCCCAGGGACCGGGAGATAGGTGGGCATGGGGGGGCAACAAGTGGACAGGAAGACCGGGAGAAGGAAGAGGAAAGAAAACAGAGGGTGATGAGGGAGCAGGAAACAGGCGCAGTGGGACAGAAGAGAACAGCAAAGGAGGGTCAGAGAGACCGACAGAGGTCGGGTGCTTTCTGGGCTGCGGACGTCTGTCAAGTGGGGCAGAGACCCCAGCCCCCCTCCCACCTGCCCGCTTCCTGAGCCCTTGCTACTCCGAGGCTGCTGTGTTGAGTGAGTCTCTGGGGCTGGACGTCCAGCAGGAAGGACTGTAGTCAGCCCAGAGAGGGACTTCCAGGGACCAGGACAATGGGGGTGGTCGGGTCTGAAGTGGGGGAGCCTGAGGAGGGAGTGTTCTCACGGTCCAGGTGGCTCTGGCGGATGCTGGCCGCGTCCTGGCCGTGGATGAACTGGTAGCAGCTGCGACCCACCAGCTCCGAGGGTCCCAGGTCCATGTGGTCGCTGACTCTGAGGAGAGAGAGGGGTCGAGACCATGGGGATGGGGGGAGAAGCAGCAGAGTAGCTTCGGAGTCACCCCCTGGGCTCGCCCTGGGAGTGGGGTGCCCTGAGCCTCCGTTTTCCCACTCTGTAAAATGGGCGTAAGAAGAGGGCCCTTTCTCGGGTGGCTCTGGGGTGCATTTCACTGTATCGTGTTTGCAGTATGAGTGAATGGAGTGGGGTCAGCGAGGGGTGGGTGGGACTTCGCAGAGTGGACTCAGGAGAGAGGTTTAGGCTCTGCCCCTGCCGGTTTGCACCTCTTCTTCCACCTCCCACGGCCCCCCAGTGCCCTGCGCGACCCCTTCCCACCGCAACCCCAGTACCTGCTCTCACAGGCGAGGATGGTGAGACCCAGGCTGAGGCGGAAGACGATCATGTGACCGTGGAGTGGCAGCTCCGCCAGTGGGGCCGGGGGCAGCGTGTGGCCGAGCGCCACCAGGCCCAGGGCGCGGGCCCGAAGGCGCCCGGTCACGTGGATAACCTGCAGGTGGCAAGCATGGAGACAGCAGGGGCTGCGACCTTACCTAGGCCACCAGGCACTTCCCAGACTTAGTTCCTGAAGGGAACCCTCCGGAATGGGGGCATAGCCGTAAGAGGGGGCTTCCCCAAAGCTGAAAACTCTTAGAAGTTACAACTACCAGCCTGGGGGCACAGCTGGCATGGCCATAGGTGTTGGCCCCAGCCGCCAGGGCAGATGGGAGGCTGGGAACCAACAAGGAGCACCTACCTTGTACCCTGAGGCTTTAACGTGCAGACCCCGCTTGGTGAGGGTGGATTTCATGCGGATGAAGAAGGAGCGCTCCTGGACACGGGGGGCTGCAGACACCAGGGCAGGGCTGGCCTCTAGGGGGAGAGGGAAAGAGGACTGGGGGGGGTCCTCAAGGGGAGATACTGGCCAACCAGACCTGGGCGACCCACAGGTCGTAGCCACTCCCCCTCAGACACCTGTTTCCGCAAGCTGGCTGACACCACCCACTAACCCCCATTCTAGTCTGAAATCAGAGGGCAGAAGTCTTTCCAAAGCTCCTCTCAGTCCCTGCTCGCCTTAGAACCTGCTGTGGCTCCCTAGGGCCCTTGTGGAAGAAAGCCCAGCTCTTCACTGTCAGTGGGTGCTGCTGAGTCTGTCTCGTGTTGGGTCCAGTTCCCAGACCTGGCTTTGTAAGGCGGTGGTGAGGAGTTAATGCAATCACGTAACTAGTGGCATGTTGTTGAGTAGAATCACGTTGGAACCCACCCTCCAGTGGGTTCTCAAAGGCTGCTAATTGCATGGGAGCAGGGTGCCCATCTTTCTCCCAAAGAGCAGCTAGTGGATTTGAACCATGTACATTTGAGTTGGCAGCGCAATTCTTTACCACTGAGCCATCAGGAGCTCCCTAACTAGAGGCATAAGACAACGCAAATGCAAAAAACCCCTCATTGTTAATTCCCCAAACTATGAGCCACTTCCATTCCTCAGCCAGAAGGGTCTTCCTAAAGATCAAATCGTGGGGAGCCAGGCAGTCATAGGGAGCTTAGACAGTTTTAGATAGCAAAGCCACACCATTTTTGTTTTGACTGATTTGTTTTATAAAAACTTTGCACAAACTTTTGCAGAAACAAGGCACAGCCTAAGTCCCCCTGACCTGACCTCAGGTCTTATTCTTTGAAGGCCAATGGGATTACCGATCTCAGAGGTCTCCGCAAGCGAGGAGGAAGAAGATGAGGAAGAGGTGGAGGGCGGGGTCGGGGGTCCGGGCATGGGGACCTGCAGCCCCAGCTGCTCCAGCACCTCGGAGTGGTCCCCTGGGTGAATGTAGTCAAAGACGCTGCTGCCCGTCAGCTCCACCTGCCGGTGATGGAGAAAAGTGCAAGGGTGAGGTGCACATGCAATCTCTCACCTGCCCGCCTGCTATCCTCAGCCTCACTCTCCTGTACGCAGGCGCACTTCTGCTGTAAACATTTTTTTTTTAAATTAGAAAACAATATAACTTTTGCTTTCAGTCATGATGTCCGTCTAGAGACTAAGGTGCGCCGGATCCAGGCCATAGTCTTTTTAATTACTTGCTATGCATCGGAGAGCTTGACAATGACTAAGGATGGCAGAAGAATCGATGCCTTTGAGTTGTGGTGCTGGAGAAGAAACAAGCCAAGAAAACAAATAAGTCTGTCTTGGAGAAGCTGAAACCAAGTTTCTCCTTGGAGGCTAGAATTTCGAAGTTCTGTCTCACATACTTTGGGCACGTGGCCAGGAGAGACTGGTCCTTGGAGAAGGACATCATGCTCGGAAGGGTGGAGGGACAGTTCAGCAGAGGAAGACCCCAGATGAGACGGATTGACACAGTAACTGCGGTAATGACAGTAGGTGTGTCAGAGTCAGTGAGACTGGCTCAGGATAGGGCAGGTTTCTCTGCTGTTGTACGTAGTGTCGTCATGAGTTCGTAGGTGACTTGATGGCACATAACAACATTATTTTTTAAAGGAACGACCCAAACTTTAGCGTTTTCTGTACCTCCCCACTTTATACTCGGTAATTAGTAAGGAGTTTTATTCCCACTTTGTTTCCTTTTAAAATAAAAAGATGGAAAGGGAGTTGGAAGGTTGGATGGGAGATTACTTGCCAATTAACCATCCCACCCAGCTAACCGCAGGCATCCTGGCTGACATGGAGCTAAGGATCTATGCTATGAAATGGTTGCCATGCTCAAACCCCTTTAATCTGACAAATTTTTTTAAGCAAAGCGCTTCTTTTTTTAAAAAAAATATTTTATTATTTTGTGTGTGTGTACCGTCAAATCGGATCTGACTGGTACAGAAGGAGATTGTCCCTCCTTCTCCAGCAGAGCATCTAGTGGATTCGAACCATGTACCTCTGGGATTGCAGTGCTGCTTCTTGCCACTAGGCCACCAGAGCTCCCTTAATATGACAGATTTTTAAATTTAGTTCCAAACGCCTCTCCACTCCTGTCCCCTACCTGCATGCTCCGCTATTCTCCCTACTTTGTCTTCCTCAGATTCCTGGATGCCCTTTGACTTTCAGTCTTTTCCTCTCCACACAAATAGACCTCCACACGTTACTCATCTGACGTGCTCCCCTCCTCTCCACCTCCCATGGCTCCCACTGTCCCTCAGTTCAGGATCACCTGCCTGCCTTGGTGTTGGGGGTGCCCCGTGCGCCATCTCATCCCTCTGAACTCCTCCCCTGGAGCAGCGTTGGTCCAGCCTCCAAACCTTCTCTCTTTCAGCCCTTCCTCCCTCTTGTCAAGTTCCTTCTCCTTCCAAGAAGCCCTAATTAGTTACTGAAAAGATGTTTATTGAGGCCAAATGTCCATTTTCCTGAGGCTCCCAAAATCTGTTCGCCAAAATCTTTGTTAAAAAAATAACTCAAGGTTAGACTGAGAAACACTGGATAAATTATGTTTACGGCATTGAAGTCTATGGGGGAGAGAATAGTTTAAAAGGATTATATTTTAGGGTATTTATTGTAAGAGTATAGAATGAGGGTTGCAGAGTGGATTATATTTGGGGTGAGGGTGGGGTTGGGGGGTGTGCGGGGGGGATTGTGTACCAATGAAGGAGTTTTGCTTTTCAAGGAGAGGAGCAAATGGGGGTGTGTGTGTGGAGGTGGGGTGGGCGGGGAGAAGGGTGCAACAATGAATGAATGGAATTCCAAAATCTCTGTAGATGCTCATCGAAATGAAAAATAAATAAATAAATTAATAAAAAAAAGAAACCTCAAAAACTTCTTTTAAAAAAAGGCGAGTTCTGGTGGCCTAGTGGTAAGAAGCTGCACTACAATCCCAGAAGTATGAGGTTCGAATCCACCAGATGCTCTGCTGGAGAAGGAGGGACAATCTCCTATACCAGTCAGATCTGATTTGGCAGTACACACACACAAAACAATAAAATTTTGGAAAAAAGATAACTCAAAAGTTCTAAAAGTGCATTGTTAGATGCCATGGAGTTGACTTCAATTTACAGCGACCCTGTCCTGTCCCGCCCCCACCATCTCTGTCATGCCTGGGTCCATTATGAATCACTGTGGCAGTCTGTCTTGTTGAAGGATTTCCCTTCTCTCGCTGCCCCTCCACTTTTCCTGGAACGATGTCTTTTTTCCCCAAGAATTGACTCCCTCTGGCAATCTTCCCAAAGTATGTGAGATGGACCCTTCACTGTCTTTGCCGCAGAAGGAGCACCGTGGTTGTGTTTCCTCCAGGACAGACTTGTCTATTCACTTGGCAGTCCATGGGACAGTCAGTACTCTTCTCCAACACCACAATTCAAAGGCATCAACTCTTCTGTAATCATTCCTACTCACTGTCCAACTTTCAGATGCACAGGAAGTAATCCACCAGATGCTCTGCTGGGGAAGGAGGGACAATCTCCTATACCAGTCAGATCTGATTTGGCAGTACACACACACACACACAAAATAATAAAATTTTGGAAAAAAGATAAGTCAAAAGTTCTAAAAGTGCATTGTTATATGCCATGGAGTTGACTCTGATTTACAGCGACCCTGTCCTGTCAGATGCACAGGAAGTAACTGACAGACCATGCTTGGATGAGGCACCCTTTGATCAGACATCCTTTATAGCAGTTTGGAGAGGTCACTGACAGCAGATTTTCCCAATGCTATGCATTTTTTTTATTTCATAAAAGTGCATAACTAAAGAGGGGTGAAGTGCATAGCAGTTCCTATTGGATTAGCAGAGCCCACAATATCACACTGGTAGCTCGCTCAGTGGTAGAACTCTTGCCTTCCATGCAGGAGATATGGGTTCAATTTCTGTCCAACGCACCTCCCATAAGGCCACCAACATCTACTTGCCAGTGGAGGCCTGTGTGTTACTGTGTTGCTGGATAGGATTTTAGTGGGTCTTCCACAGTAAGATGAGGAAGAAAGGCCTGGTGGTCTGTGGTCACAAATCAACCAATGACAACACTATGGACCATAACTGTTTGTTCGGGTGTACACGAAGACCAACAAGCTGGCCCAAGTTTGCAGGATTCTGGGAGTAAGGGCTCTTGGCTGCTCCCTGCCCCCTTCTAATTCTCCAGCTGCCTCTCAGCTCATGACCATCAAATTGGAACCCTTTAGTGGGTTTTCAAGTATCAGCATGTCTAAGTTATGGAGCTAAACCACCACGGGACTCCCAAATCTGGCCAAACCCAAACCATTTCCACTGGAATTGCTCTAGACCTTTGGAATGGTTCCAGAGAAATAAGTTCTATAAACAGATTTTTGGTGATGCATTTGGCCAACTGGTCACAGGACCATGGCATTTACTGCAAACTTGTTTTTCTTCTAACGGGTCAGCTTCTCTCCAGCCTTCACTACCCAAGAAGAGAAACGTTGAATGCTATGTGGAATCCCAGGGAACCCCCGTTCAGTTGTGGTTTCCCCCCCTCCCCTTTTCTGTGTTTATTGAAACTTGTTTGGTTATATACAGATCTAGTGCAAAACATCTACGCCGTTTAGGTTTTAAGCCTGGATGGTGAAGCTAAGAGAGAGAAAGGGCAGGCGTCAACGAAGTGAGGGACCCTTACCTGTGAGAGACCCAGATAGATGGAGACCGTCTCAGAGATGTAAAGGAATTTCCCCTCCTGATTCAGGGCAAAGACGAACCCGTCCAGGGACTAGAGAGGAGAGAGACAGAGAGGGGACAGGGAAAGGCCTGGTGTCCATCTGTCGGGCTGACAGGTGGTAAGAGGTTCTGAAATCTGGATCTCCACCCGAGATGGACTGTGCTGGTGGGGAGGGGGCTTCCCCAGGCGCGGAGAGGGAAAGGGAGGAAGAAGAGGGTGCAGGTCCCACGTGCGGCCACAAGGTGGCAGCAAGGAGCAGCAGGCAGGGAAGGCAGCTCACCTGCAAAATGTGTCCTCCCAGGTGCTGCTCGAACACATCCGAGGCCAGCGCCGCGGAGGCCCTGCGGGCTGGGGCTGGGGAGGGACAGACGGGGGGCGTGAGATGGGGTCTGCAGCCCCCCAGGAAGCGAGCCCACACATACACCCCCCCCCCCAGCCTTGCTATATGGGCATCTGGGGTCCTGTGGGAGGGGACCTGGATGCTGAGACAGGGACAGCTATGGGATAGGAAGACCAGGAGAGCCAGAAAGTCATTCATTCATTCATTCATTCATTTATTCATTCCCATTCAGCGAATAATGCCAAACTCCTTCTTGAATGGTTGATGGGTGATGTTGATTTAACATAAAAGGATAATGGGGTGAGGCTTGAAGGCGGGGGGCGGGGAAGGGGACATGTGAGTTCAATCCTAAAGGGGGTGTGGGAGGCAGAGGGGGAAGCGACAGCAGGGAGACTGGAAAACTAGAGACACAGATTTGAAGGCAGAGCCTCGCTACTGCACAGACTCCGAGTCATGGCGCCCCCGTGTGTTACAGAGTAGAACTGCTCCACAGGGTTGTCATGCCTGTGACGTTTAGGGACCCAAACTGCCCGCCAGGCCTTTCCTCCGCAGCACTGATTGAGTTTTTGTGTTTTGATTTTGAATTTTGTGTGTGTGTGTGTGTGTGTGGTTTGTTTGTTTTTAATTGAGGGTTGCTGTTTTAAAAAATTATTTTTATTATTTGTGTATGTGTGTGTACCGTCAAATCAGATTTGACTGGTACAGGAGGAGATGGTTCCTCCTTCTCCAGCAAAGCATCTGGTGGATTTGAACCGCACACTAATTGAGGGTGTTTTGAAGCACTAACTTTTATATCAGTGATTCAGAACAAACTAATGCCATCACACAGGGACTTTGGAGACAGATAAAGACAGAAATCAAGAGAGAGATAAGAAAAGAGATATTCAGAGAAAGGCATGAAGCAATGACATAGGAGCTGAGCTGAGACACACAGACACACGCCCCCTGACCCATCCCACCACCGTGGACCCCAGACCTCATGCTGGGGACACTACCTGCTTCACCCTCAACAGTCTCGCCTGGTCTTAGATGCCTTTCCTGACCCTACAAAGAACTACACCAGCCACAAGATCCAGGTGATACTCAAAGGTGGGGAGGGGGATAGGGTGGCCTGAAGGGTCCCCAAATGTCAGCTTCCTGCAAGGCTAAGGGCTTAGGTCTGGCTTGAAGCTCCCAGGCTGCCCCTCCTTGGCTGCATACCCTCTGCTACTCTGAGCCTCAGTTTTCCCATCTTTCAAATGGGTAGCCTAAGAATGACCGGCCCTCGGGAGCCCACAGAGAGCTTCATCAGTGGAAAGGTGCCAAGACCCGAGTAGGGACCAGAGTTCATCTGATCGTTCAGTACTTCCAGCTCCCTTTTGCCCGCCCCCACCCATGTGAAGCCACACCTCTTTATCCTAGGGCGGGGGTGCCTCTTCCGGAGCGCTAGGAACAATAACAGAGGAGGGGGTGACAGGGACCCCTCCCCCAGGATGCTTCTCCAACCAGCCGGGTGACAGGCGGGAACAATGCCGCTCGCTAATTGTCGCAATTTTCCCCTGTCATTTTTGCTAATTCCTTCATTTTCCCTCGCACGGGATCAGCCTGGGTCAGACGGAGCCGCACAATTAACAACATTAATGGGCGCTTCGCTTCGAGATGGGGGTGCGTGGGGGGAGGACTCAGGGACCTTCAGATCCCCAGACACAAGGCCTGCTATCCCCCCACCCCACTGAGGACTCCCGGGAGTCTGTCCCCATCACTGAACCTCCCCCAAGCCCCCCAGGCCCTGACTCCTGCCCCTGTAACTAGCCCCCCAATACACCCCTCCCAGATCTGTCCTCGAAAGGCTCTCCGCCTGCACTGCTGGAAACACACCTCGCACACAAAACTGTCCCGGACAGAATAAACAGGAGGTACTGTGAAGCAGAGACTGGATCAGGGTGGGAGGAACGCAGAGGGGAACCCAGAGATAAGCCTTGACGGAGACCGGGAGCAGCAAAGGACCCCCTCTCGTCCTTAAATCGCCTGAGTCCCTAGGAGCAGGCCTGAGGTTTGGTGAGGACCCCCCCTAGGGAGGACTCAGGAGCACTTCTGCCTCCATTTCCCTCATCTCTAGAATGGGTCGAGTGGTGGAGCCCAGGGGATTCCTGCAGGCCCAGTGCTCAGTGGGCACCCAGTCAGCCCCTCATTCCTGCCTGCAGTTTCTATTTAACCCACCACTTCCGAGCGGATGCCAACTCACAGATGCCCTGTAGGTCGGAAGTTCGAGGCCCCCAGCGGCCCTGAGGAAGAAAAATGATCCTCTTGCACGGATTGACAGCCTCAGAGACCTGAGAGAGGGTCATTCTCGTGGCCTCGTAGTAGTAAGAAGGTGTGCTGCAATCCCAAAGGCATACGGTTCAAATCCTCCACAGGAGAAGGATGGGCAGTCTTGGGTGATGCACTGATTCTACAAACTCACTAGAGCATTAGCTGTGGGCAGCCTCCAGGCCGACAGCCCACAGCAACGTGAGTCGAAAAGGAAGCAACCTCCTGTCAGCATGTTGGTTTTCGTGGTCTGGGGGTAAGATTTCCGAGGACTTTATATGAGACAACTCCTTCCTTCATCTTTCTTTCGAAGAGTGACAGATGGATTTGAACCACGGACGTTTTACTTGGTAACCAAATAGCAATCATATATGGCTAACGCTGACCACGGCTCCCCTGCCAGATCATTGCTCACAGCCCGCCTCTCACGCACACACTTCCATCCCGAGCAGGACCTGCCAGTCTCTGGCCTGAGTCACCTGAATCCTGCCACCTCTCACGCCAGGGTTCCCCCCAGCTGTCCCACCTCCTGAGAGAGGCCACCTCTCTCTGAGCTGGGATCCAGGAGGGGACCCTCCTGCCCACCAGGTGCCACACCCCACAGTCTCTCAAGAGGCAAGTGACTTGAGGGGGGCAAGACCCGAAATGAAGGAAATATAGAGTATCAGAAGGGTGCCAGTGGCTGGTGCAATGGTTAAAAGCTTGGCTGTTAACTGGAAGGCTGGCAGTTCAAAGCCACGCAGTGGCCCCTTGGGTTATTCGTTCCTGTAAAGATGACTGGAGGAGGGCGCTGTCACTCAGTTCCGGGGGACAGTGCACAACAGGCCCAGACGCTGCCCAGCCCTGTGCCAACCTCACAGTGGCTGCTGCATCTGAGCCCATCATTCCAGCCACCCCATAAATCCACCTTGGTGCGGGTCGTCATCCTTTTTTGGCTCACTTTCTACTTGGCCAAGGCAGCTCTGGTGGCTTGGCGGTAAGGAATTCTGCTGCCACTGCCAAGGTCTGCGGTTCGAATCCACCAGCTGTTCCATGGAAGAACAATGGATGCTCTCCTCCCACGCAATTTACCGCCTCCAAAGACCTGCTGAAGAGTCAGCTCCGGGTCGGTTCTTCCTCGACGGTAAACACAGCAACTGCTCCACCAAGGAGGGTCTGGCCCCGGCCAGAGTCCACGAGAGGAAGTCTCACGGGCCCCTCCCTCTCCCTTCTGCGCCCCTCACTGGCTGCCCTTCTCCCAGGACAGATTTGTTCCTTCTGGCAGTCCGTGGTCCAGTTGGTATTCTTTGCAGACATCACAGCTTAAAAGTACCAGTACTTTGACCCTGCTAATTAATTCTCCAGCAGCTGCATGCATGGGCAACGATCCCAGCTTAGATGACACTATGGGGCTGTCCCCACTTGGTCCTTTGGTGTTGCTGTGAATCGGGATTTAATAATTGATAACTTCCTTCAGGTGATGAGAAGAATTATGGGGGAAAAAATAAAGTGGGAAAGCATACTGATGGGTGCTGGGGGTAGGGGGGGAGACTGACATTCTAAACCCAGTGCTGCCCAGAAAGTTGACTTTCGGAGGGAAAGGACTTCCTGGTGGAGGATGGGGAGAACAGCATGTGCAAAGGGCCTGAGGCACAAGTACACTTCTCCAAAGAACAGTAGGTGCTGTTGTGTGTGTGGGAGGGTGAAGAAGTGAGCAGCGGGAGATGAGATGGGGGAGATGGGAGGTGGGAGCTAGAGTGTGGGGTGATGTGTCCCTTCTTGAGGGCAGAGACCCTGTTCTGCTTGTCTTGTGTCCTCAGCACCCAGGAGCACACCAAGTATAAAGAAGGAGTTCAGTGCGTTCTTTCTTGGTGGATGAACAGAGAATGCTGCTGAGAGGTCAAGGCTGGTTCTCCCCAGCCTCAGTGGCCCATTTTAGAGGTGGTAGACTGAGGCCCACGTGAAGAACACAGCATCAGGCCTGGGGGTGGGGAAGCTTCATTGCTCACTGGCCCATTTTAGAGGTGGTGCTCAGCTCCATGGTCAACACTCTTGGCACTGGCAGCCAGGAAATAAAAAAACATATTGCGATGGGAAAGTGTCTGCTGTTAGGGACCTCTCTGAAGTACTCAAGAGCAACTGTGTCTCTCTGGAGACTAAGGTGCGCCTGATACAGGCCATGGTCTTTGCAGTCACTTGTTATGCATCAGAGAGTTGGACAATGAATAGGGAGGATAGAAGGAGAATTGATGCCTTTGAGCTGTGGTGCTAGAGAAGAGTATTGAATGTACCATGGACTGCCAAGAAAACAAACAGATTCATCCTGGAGAGGGTTAAACCAGGCTACTCCTTGGAGGCAAGGATTCTGGGGCTTTGTCTGACATACTTTGGACATGTTGTAAGGAGAGACAGGTCCTTGGAGAGGGACATCATGCTTGGTAGGGTGGAGGGACAGCACAGGAGGGGAAGACCCTCTATGAGGTGGATTGATTCAGTGACTGGAATAATTGGGATGGGTGTCTGGGATAATTGCGATGGGTGTGTCAGAGGCAATGCAATTGGCACAGGATAGAGCAGGGTTTAGTGCTGTTGTACATAGGGTTGCTATGAGTCGCAAACGACTCGACGGCACATAACAACAACAACAACAACAACAACAACAACAACACTGAGGCCTACATGAAGAACACAGCATCAGGCCTGCGGGGGAAGCCTCATTGACAACTTGAGATATGCAGAGGTACAT